CGGAAATGACTCGACGGCACTTAACAACAACAACTCCTTTTGGCTTTATTTTCTGCACCTTCCTTTTTTTTTTTTTTTTTAATTTAACTTGTTTTTTGACCTTCAAGTCACTGAGTTGGTTCTCATTTAACCTATAGTCATAGGGAGTAGGTCAGTTAGTATTGATGGCAATGGCAATCAGCTATATATTTTTTTTTCCATATAGTAGTCTTTTATTTGTCACCTATGCCAGGTACCAGGGATACAGCGCTAAACAAGGTTATCTGCTTGCTCTTTCCATATAAATTGACCTGCTGGGTATGTTTCTCCCCACAGTGTCAATCCCAGCTCTAGAATATTAATCACAGACGGAGACCGCTTTACTGGTAACAAAGATCCCTTTGCCTATGATTATCTCCAGGAATGAGGAAACAAAGGTAGTGATTTCCATCTTGTCTGAAATTAGCCCATGTGCTACAAAGCACTCAGGTCAGTTTCAACGTCACTTTCCCTCCTTTTACAACCTCCCAGACCAATTTTCTATTGGTATAAAGGGCAGCCCTTTAAAGTGTGGTGCCATAGAATTTTACCAGCTGGGTAAATATTTTGTACGTAATCATTATAAAAATCCTAGGTCAGAAAGTCAAGTATTTCAGTTTTATTCATCATAGTATATATTCACCCAGCAGCAATTACTGGAACTCTCTGGAAATACACACAGGTATCACTCTTGCATACTGGTTAAAAATACAGATTGCAGGAATAGGCAGATATGGGAATCCTGGCTCTGCCACTTCCTAGCTTCAGGTCTTTAGCTTTGGGCCCTTGACCAAAGCACTTAACCACAGCAAGCCTCAGGACCACCTCATAGATTTGGAAGGTTAAAGGACAGATAACACATGCAATGGCACTTAGCAAGTGCCAGATAAATATTTCCTGTTTTTATCATCTCATTGGCCAAAATGCTGCATATCATCGTTGAGACCTGCGCAGTCTATCTATGCAGTACCCAAGACCCGTCCATGTATTTTTATTCCTCTACTTCATTCTTCCCATGAATTATATAACCTCAGTTTAAGAGCCCGTTTTTATTAAACATGCTAAAGAAGTAGTAAAGGCACAATGTTAATTTACATAATTAAATACAATTAGCACTGGGTAACTTCAGAGACATGAACATTAACAGCTTTAGAACAGAACTCTTCTGCCTGACACATTAAGGTTTACCCTGCTGTGGAGACTGCAGACAAGCATTTCCAAAGCTGTTTTCCAACCAGTGGCATCCACCAGGGGGCGCATAAACAAAACAAAACATACCCCTCTGCCCATACTCCAAAAATTCTGGTTCAGAAGATCTGAGTAGGGCCAATGGATTTCTCTCTGTCAAAAGCTCCCTGAGTGATATAAATGTACAACCAGGCTCTAAACTTCTGATGCAGTGTAAAATCATTTCTTGATTGGCTTTGGGTGGCTTAGAATAGTAAACCAACAGAGTTTAAGTGTGCTGACTTTTCCAGACCCTGAAATTACCGATATGGTTGCTTTTATATGCCATTGAGTAGTGTGTGTTAAAGTTTACAGTAAAAAGCATGTTCTCTACTATAGTTATGGCTTGAGTGCACCATCAGCTTTTCCCAGAGCATAGATGGCCTTGTTGTCCAGCAGTTCCATCTTCTTGTCAGCTGGTCTCACTGCATTGTTCAACATTGCTCTCACCACAGTCACCACAGGCACAGAGTATGCATTGGCCCAGGATTCTGGTAAGAAGCCAAAGAATTTCCTGATCAGCCATTCACCTGGGCGAGATTCTTGCCTATCACACAGCAGAACTCTAAAGAGAGAGAAGCACAGGAAGAGATGGTAAGGTGCCATCAGATCATAATGGGTAAAAGGTTTTATTTGGTGCATGAAGAAGATTTAAAAAAAGAAAGCATCAAATGCTAGTCAGGAGCTCCAGACTATTCTGAAGCTGGCACCACTAGCTGCCTACCCCTTTTTTTCAAAGTCAAAAGGCAGGTCCTGAAGAGAAATCTCTAGCCATCTTCTTTCATATCTTAGAGATCCTGGTTGTCAGCCTCTCCAAAAACTAGCTTCTAGGGATTAACTAACAGTGCTATGTTCCCAGTCAGTAGGAATACTTACCCTGGCCTAAATATGGAGTAACGATCAAATTTCAATTCTCCAACTCTGCCTTCCACTTCTCCCTGTTAGCCAAAAGAAAAGAAAAAAACACATTTTCAGTATGTAACCAAGACCAGCTTTCTGTGAAACTTAAGAAGGGATAATTTGGGGGTTCTGAAGATAATCAGCCCCTGCAGTCTCAATGCTCATCAATATTGTTATCTAGAATTTTAGATTCCAAGAGTCTGGGAAGGTAAGGAAGAAATCATTTAATCTTGACACATAGTAGGTAGTTAAAAAATACCTATTGAATGAGTAAGTGGCTGCATAGTCAGTCCACTCCTCTCATTTTACAGATATTAAGAGATCCAGAGAGGGTAAGTGATCTACTGGGAGTTTAACCATAAATGTTAGTCCAGAATTAATATCTGCAGGCTGGCACACATTAACTTCTTTTGGGGAGAATAGGTGGGTGGGTGTGGTTTACACATAATCCCAGTGGGTCAGAAGGTCCATTTAAGAAAAAAACAAAACTCACTGCTGTTAAATCAGTTCCAACTCACAGCAACCCCTCTTTGGGTTTCCAAGGCGGTATCTTTACGGAAGTAGATTGCCTAGTCTTCCTTCTGAGGAGTGGCTGGTGGGTTTGAACCACGAGCCTTCTGGTTGGCAGTCAGATGCCTTAGGCACTACACTACCAGAGCTCCTTCTTCAAAACCCCACGAAATGTCAAGAGACACTGAGACTGCATCTGTATAATGATTTAAATTAAATGTGTTAAACAAGCCATGACTTTGTGCCATTATGTAATCTTAGCTGGCTTTTTCTTTTCCCGTCTTTTCTATAAGCATCATCAATAATTTGTAGTATATTTATGGAGTAGTGCAGTCATCAACACAGTCTAAGTTTGGAGGTATCAAGCAGAAGCTGGATGACCATCCATAAGCAGATTTCACATTGAAGAACAAAAGGGACCAGGTTTGTTGGTCTGATAGAACCTAGTAGAACCCCTGAGACTGTGGCCCCTAGCTGCCCCTCAGGTCTGGAATTGAACCCACTCCTGTGGCTTCCAGCCAAACAAAAGACAGGCATATGAGCTGAACATTTACATTAGGTAGATACACTCCTTGAAGATATCAATCATGAGAGAATAGAAGGGCTGTGCACACACAGGGAGACAGCTCGAGGGGCAGGAGTGCATGGGAGGAAGAGGTAACTATGGAGAGGAAGTAGGAGGGGAGATGTTGCATTGTGGGAAATTGCAGTCAATGTCATGAGACGGTGTATGTGAGTTGCTGTATGAAAAGTGAATTTGCTCTGTTAACTTTCACCCAAATCACAATACAAATTTAAAAAAAAAAAAAAAGAGGATTTCACTTTGAAAGACTCAAATCACTGCTGAAAATTGTTTACCATCATAGTGACACACCAGCTTCCACCAACAGACAGGTGGTGGTTGCTGAGCATATGGTGGATTGGTCGGGAATTGAACCTGGGTTTCCTGCATAGAAGGTAAGAAAGTAAACCAGTGACCTGTTACATCATTTAGTGCTGCCCATTAGCCAGCATTCTCCAAAGTATATGAAAGATATAAATGTGTATAAACCTTAACTTGCAGATACAAAATATTGCTCGACTTATCGGCTCCTTGAGAGGACAACAGATTGAAATGTTTGCACCCTCCAGCTTTTGCCAGCTCTGCAGACTTCAGCACATAATCTCGGTCAACACGAACAAATCCATCCTAAGGGAGAAAAGGATGTGAGTTATTTCCAAAAGAAGTGCAAGTTCATCTTAAAGATTATAACTCAGTTTCAGTGGCAGGCTAGGAGGCCTGGGGGGATGGAGATTCAAATAAAATGCATTCAAATAATACATGAATGTCAAGCTTAGACCCTGGGAAAGACTCCAAGTATGGTCCTCAGGACAGACATACTAGCTTTAGCAGCAAGGCCAGACTACAGTGAAAAAACAAGGACAATGACATTGAAACACGGACACAAAACAAATCCATCAGGAGCAAAGGGAACAAAAAGATAAGGCTGGGAAACTGCTTTTAGTCACATATTGCTTTCCCTTTTCATGACTTTACAACCTTACACCCCACCCTTCTGTTTTCTCAATCTTAGCTGTGTTAACTCTAAGATGGTAGGGTCTCAAAACACTACCCAGGCACTATGAGAACAAAGTCTAGAGCCAACTCTCATCTTTTAAATTTCCAATTTTGTATATGTTTTACAGCATACCTTATATATTGGTAAGGAGTGTAGTCTCAATTTTTTTTTTTTTTTTTACTGATGGCTGCATAATCAAAAATGTATTTTTTTTTTTTTTTTTTTTACTGATGGCTGCATAATCAAAAATGTATGGAGACGATTCGTCTAGCCACTTTGTCCAGTGAGGGTGGCTTGTTGTTGTTGTTATGTGTCGTCGAGTCAAACCCGACTCATAGCGACCCCTCCTTGGGTTTCCGAGGCAGTATCACTACAGAAGTAGGATTGCCCAACCTTCCTTCCGAGGAGTGGCTGGTGGGTTTGAACCGCCAGCCTTCTGGTGAGCAGTCAAGTGCCTTAGCCACTATGCTACCAGAGCTCCTAAACAATAATTTAGCTCATTTAATAAACAATGTTTACCTTGAGCACTGGACTCTTTTAAAGAATTTGCCTTATAAGATTAAAGGGACAACAATAACTCTAATACACAGACTTTAAGGGGCAGAAAGTACAAGTTAACAGTAGTGAAACAATATGCACAGAGACAGGGAGAACAATGACACAGTATGATGGATGTAACCACTGTCAGTGATCCACACGTAAAAATTGTTGAATGGGTGTACGTTTTGTTGTGCATATGTACACACACACACACACACACACAAAGAAAGGTTCAATGAAAGAAAAGGCTGAAGCCAGTAAGAAGAAAAGGATGAAGCAGCAGTGGAAGGGGAGAGCATGAAGCAAACAATACTCGTTTCCAGGGCTGAACTGAAGGACATGGTAGCTTGACCCAAAAAAGGAAATTCCATGTAGTAATAGCTTCTTGGGGCCACCATACATTCTAGCCTCTTCAAACCAAAGGCAGCTGAAGAGAAGTCTAAATTCTGTTGAAGTAAAAATTTATAGCTACCTACAATTAGTATAATGAGGGCTTAGAGTGGAGAAGATTCCAAATCTGAAGAAAGGCTTAGTGCCCCGGTGTTTTGTTTTGATTAACAATCTGTTCTATGGTAGTTAATGATTTAAAATCTTATGTGGTATGGAAACATGTATATTTCAAAGAATGTTAGAAGGGACCTTAGGACACATCACATGAACCTCCTCATTGTGTAGATGTGAACTGATTGACTGGCTGAACTGCCTGCTGTACCTGAAAGAGCTGAGAGTAGAGCACAGATCCTGACTCTCTGATCCATGCTTTTTTTCCACTGTATCCATGTTCTTCTAAATCCCATACTATCTTTAGCTGACAAAAATGACTAATTTATAATTGCGGAAGGAAGAATAAGGGCCCCTCCAAAGATATCCCTGTCCTAATCCCTGTACCACACAACAAGGTGAATTAAGGTTGCAGATGGAACTAAGGTTGCTAATCAGCTGCACTTAAAATAAGATGATTAATGATTATCCAAGGAGCTCTGGTAGCATAGTGGCTAAGGCACTTGACTGCTCACCAGAAGGCTAGCAGTTCAAACCCACCAGCCACTCCTCGGAAGGAAGGTTGGGCAATCTACTTCTGTAGTGATACTGCCTCAGAAACCCAAGGAGGGGTTGCTATGAGTTGGGGCCAACTTGACAGCAAACAACAACAACGATTATCCAAATGAGCCCAATGTAATTACAAGGATCCTTAAAGAGTAGAGAAGAGGGAGGCAGAAGATGAGGCCAGAGTGATGTGATAGGAAGACTCAGCATATGGTTCCTGGCTTTGAAGGGAACTATGAACCAAGGCCAGTACCTCTGTCAGCTTGTCATACTATGGTGCCTTGCATGTTGCTGTGATGCTGGAAGTTATGCCACCAGTATTTCTAACACCAGCAGGGTCACATATGGTAGACAGGTTTCAGTGGAGCTTCCAGATTAAGACAGACTAGGAAGAAAGACCTGGCAATCTACTGAACATTACCTAAGGAAAACCATATGGATCCCAAAATACTGTTCAAGACTTTGGCTTACTTAGTTTGGATATGTCATCAAGAGAGGCCAATTGGTGGAGGATATCATGTTTGGTAAAGTGGAGGGCCAACAAAGTCAAGGGAAACCTTCAATGAGATAGACTGACACAATGGCTGCAAGGACGGGCTCAAGCATACCAACAATCATGAAGATTCTCTGTTGTGCATGGGGTCACTGAATTGGAGCTGACCTGACAGCATCTAGCAACACCACCACCCAAGGAATGCAGGCAGACTCGAAAAGCTAGAAAAGGCAGGGAAACAGGTTCTCTCCTGGAGGGAAAAGCAGCCCTGCCAGCACCTTGATTTGTGTCCATTAAAACACTTGTCAGACTTCTAACATGTAGAACTGTAAGATAATGAAGTTGTACTGTTTTAAGCTTGAGGTAACTTGTCACAGCAGCAATAGGAAACTAACATAGAATTCAATTTTAAAACAGATCTACATAATTTCTTTTAAGTTTTCATTGAAGTATATCCTAAAAAAGTGAACATATATTATAAATAATGAATAGCTTAATGAATTTTCATAAAATGAAAATGCCTGTGTGATTAAAACTGTGCATCAACTTGGCTGGGCTATGATTCTCAGTGCTTTCTAAGTTATGATGTAATCTGGCAGTTATGTAATGATGTAGTCATCCCCCATGGTGACATATGATGTAATCACTTCCCTTGGAGGTGTGGCCTGCATCTAATGTATACAGACGTCCTGGCAAAGTTCTCTGGCTGTTTGCTCAATCTGGACCCTGCATCTGGCTCCTCATCATCTGACCTCTGGATTTTTGGACTTGAGCCAGCAGCCTGCCATATTGCCTGCTGATCTGGGATTCATTAGCCTCTGCAGCCTGTGAGCCAGCAGCCTGCAGTCTGACCTGCCAATCTTGGGTTCATCAGCTCCTGCAACTACTTGAGTCAGGAGAAGCCTCCAGCCTGTCATCTCACCCATCGACTTGGGACTTGCCAGCCTCTACAACTGCATGAGCTATTTCCTTGGGATAAATGTCTCTATACATGTACATATATAAGCTTCACTGGTTTTGCTTCTCTAGAAAATCCAGCCTAAGACACTCTGCAGCCAGCTCCTACGTCAAGAATAGAATTTTGCCATTCTAGTTTTTTGCCCAAAGGCGCTCTTCTCATCATTCACAAATAATTCTTAATTATATCTACTACCTGGAGGGCAGTCTTATTTTTCTGCCTTACTTTATATAATATAAACTTAACTCTTTACCCATGAATCATCAGCATCTCTTTTTGTGTTGTATACTTTTTAAAAAATTATTTTGTTTTCAGTGAAAGTTTACACAGCAAATTAGGTTCCTATTTTACAATTTTTACATAAATTGTTCAGTGACATTAGTTACATTTTTCATATTGTGTCAACATTCTCTTTAATTGCATTCTGGTTATTCCATTTCTAGTACTCTAGTTTCCCTGCCCCCTTCTCATCTTTGCTTTAGAGTAATTGTTGATATTTTTGGCATCATATAGATGATTTTGTAATGGAGCACAGTATTCATGGATAATATCCTTTAGTTTGTGTGCCAATCTATTATTTGCTAAAAAGTGACCTAAGGAGATGGTTTCAGTTCAAGGTTTAAGGAGGATCTCAGGACAATAGTCACAGGGAATCCTCTAGTCTCAATTTGTCCAGTAAGTCTGGACTCTTTAAGAGTTTAAGCTCTGTTCCACATTTTTCTCCCATTCTATCAAGGTCCATTAATTGTGGCCCTGATCAGAATGGTCAGTAGGGGTAGCCAGGAGCCATCTAGTTCTGGTGTCAGGATAGATAAGGCTGTGGTTCATGCACACTATTGGACATGTTGGCTAGTTTCTTCTTTGGGTCTTTGGTTTCCTTCTTTCTTTTGATGAGTAGAGACCGATAGTTGTATCTTCGATGGCTGTTCACAAGCCTTTAAGACCCCAACACTACTCACCTCACTAAGATGCAGAACATGAACTTTGTGAACTATACAGGCAACCCCCAGGGTACAAACATCCAACTTAACGTATAACTCATAGTTACAAATCAACCTCTGTAAAGTTTATCAAAAATTCAAGGTACATACAAAGGTTCGTAATAACAAACGGGCACTGCTTTGAGACACTCATCAAAATATTATTATTATTACTACACTATTACATTAAAGGGAGCTCTGGTAGCATAGTGCCTAAGGCACTTGACTGCTAACCAGAAGGCTGGTGGTTCAAACCTATCAGCCACTCCTTGGAAGGAAGATGGGGCAATCTACTTCCGTAGTGATACTGCCTTGGAAACCCAAGGAGGGGTCACTATGAGTCGAGTCCGACTCGATGGCACATAACAACAACAACAACAACGTTATATTAAAAATGGTTTAGTGTATCTGGAAGTGTTTCTTTAACATTCTTCTGTGTAGAGGTGCACTATATACTACATACTAAGACAAGTATCAGACTAACTGACATTAGATACAAACCAAACCTAACTGTTCCAACTTTTGTACAAATTCAATTTAAAGACAGACTTAGGAAGAGAACTCATTTGTAATCTGGGAACTGCCTGTATTATGCTAGTTGACTGAGTTTTC